CAATGAACACATAAGTATAGTGGTGTAAGAGTTTATCACTATATTTGAAATGGACCACAGATTAAATTTAACTGAAATATGACCCCTTGTGAATAAACTCACATTGTAGTAATCTAATCATGATGAAAAACAAAGATCACAGGAACTTTTAGAACAGTACAATAAAGTCAGAATTCTACAGATTTCTTATTATATAGAGTGAATCATGTAAAGTACAAGTCATGTACCTGAGCTGTGAGATATAAGGCAGACACTGCAGGAAACTCCTCACTTCACTCTCTTCATGTGACCAGTCTGTCAGTTTCACTTGTTTCTTCTCTGATTGGAGTTTCAGCACTTCCAGGAGGATGGAGGTCTTTATCTCTGAGAGGTTTATAAACCAGACTGCAGGACCAGACTGGAAAACTGACTGTAATGATGGAAGGACACTCAAACCTGTTTCAGCCACATGAGAAAACAGGTCCAGGAGGAAATCACACCACTTCTGTCTGAGAGGGATAGTTTTGTAGGTGCACACTGATATTAACAGGTCCAGTATCTTCTCTCCAGTCTGCTTTTCTTTCTCTGCTGCTGAACAGAACAGTCTCCCCAAGAATCTGGTTTCTTCATTAACATCTGATTTCAGAGAAACAAAACTGGAACAAAATGAAGAAAACATTTTGTGACGATTTGATCTCAGCTGCATTAATACAACCACCATTCAGAATGATGCCTACTTTGTCTGTGTAATAATGGAATATGGCTTTGAGAGAATTGCAAAAGTTATACAATTTGGTCCTGAGGGCCAAACCTCAACATTCAGAAACAAACTATTTGGAGTAGAGCTTCAGGACTTTACAAGGTCCCATGAGCTTAATAGAGGTCTTCATGTGACTTTTTTTCCCAGAAAAATCCCCGACAGCAACTGGGAGGTTACATGAGTTGGGATGGAATGATCCGTATTTAAAATTGTATACTTAAAGAACAAAGCAACTATAAAATGTAATGTTCTGCTGCCTCGTCTCTTCAAGAAGAACAAATCTCAACTACAACTCATCAAAACTCAGGTGCTTATGTGTTAACTAAGACCTGACAAGAGCACACATCACACCAATTATAAAGTTTCTGCACTGGATACCTGTCGGCTTTAGAAAGTGTTTTAAGATTCTTTTATTGTCTATAAACTCTTCATGGTCTTTATGCTACATATTTATCACATTTGCCTTCATGCTATGAACCTTCTAAAACCCTGAACTCCTCTGGTAGCTGATGTTTAATTAAACTGAAGCCAGAAGAAAACCCCACAGTGAGTCATCCTTCTGTGATTATGGTTCACATCTCTGGAACATCCTCCATAAAGTTTTAAGTCTGGCTTTCAAATGTATTTTCTTTATTCTTTTTTTTGTTGTTGTTTTTTATTTTATAGATTTATTTATTTATTTAAGTATTGAATTCTATTTGATCTATCACTCATCACCAAACTATTTTTTATTACTATCTTAATTTGCTTTTCTGAATTTTGACTTATTTCTCTTCTGATGTTTCCTCATTGAATTACTTTGATAGTCGTGTTTTCTCACTTTCTCTCTTGCTCCTGGTTATATTCCCTCATTTATAACATCATGTCGAGGAGGGAATTGTGTGGAAGATTGTTTTAATTGGTTTAATTACTCCTTTTTGCAAAGCACTTTGTGTCACACTCTCAGTGTATGAAAAGTACGATACAAATAACATTTATAGATTGGGGGATTAACTGAAAACTGTAAAATAAATATTGTGGAGTCAAAACAACAACTTGTTGTTTTGACTAAAATATGTCCCTATGTGGAAAACATCTTAATATGGAAAATAAAGAATGATACAGAAATGTCACAGAAATAACTACAACAATGGATCCTAACGTAATTCACAACACATTTCATTCAAAGCATAATTCACTGACCTGAGCTGTGAGATATAAGGCAGACACTGCAGGAAACTCCTCACTTCACTCTCTTCATGTGAGCAGCCTGTCAGTTTCACTTCTTTCTTCTCTGAATGGAGTTTCAGCACTTCCAGGAGGATGGAGGACTTTCTCTCTGAGAGATCTATGAACCAGACTCCAGGACCAGACTGGAAAACTAGCTGTAATGATGGAAGAACACTTAAACCTTTTTCAGCCACATGAGAATACAGGTCCAGGAGGAAATCACACCACTTCTGTTTTAGAGGGAAACTTTTGTAGGTGCACACTGATATTAACAGGTCCAGTATCTTCTCTCCTGTCTGTTTTTCTCTCTCTGCTGCTGCACAGAACAGATCCTCCAAGAACCTGGTTTCTTCTGACGGTCCTGATACCTGAGGCACGACACTGAAAGCATCACAAATAAAAACATTTGACACATAGTCTTTATCAAAAGGAAAACTGCTGTTGTTTTTCTATGTACTGTAGTTTGATGTTTGCAACCAGACAAACCTAAAATAGAAGTGCAGCTCCTCATAAAAAAAACATGAATCATGAAAAAGATCATCATTTATCTGAGCTGTCTCAAGCACAATTTCTGAGACTGTATGAAGTACAAACAACTCAGTCGATATTTGTTCTGCATTACACAATGAGACTGAGGCTGCCTGATTCTACAAAGTTTATTCATTAAGTTATTAAAAGTATGATTCAAGACTCATCATAGAACACTTGATCATTATAAGCACCCAAATTAAATCCATATGATTCAGTCAGTCTATTAAAAAGCACCATTTCTTCTGTTACTATTGTTAAAGATGACACAATTAAACAACCAAAATAAGAAGGACTAGCA